TTTTTTTATTGAATTTTATTTGAATTATAGTGTATGAAAGTTGTCAAAATAATCAACTTTTAACCCCCATAACTTTTTATGGTGGTGAGACCGCCGCAAATTTTTTATGGGGTTTTACTCAGGTGACCACCCTCTTTAGATCCCCCCGCCCCACCCCCTTCGGGGACATCATCTATACCTGATTTGCATGATATGATTTATTTGAAATACTTTCAAAAAGGTTTTTAAGATACTTTTCCAAACCTATTTTCTATTTGTAAAATGCAAAATACATTTTTGCTGTTAAAAGTTTTGCCAGTATCACCGATCAAACATTATATAAAATGATGAATAAAAGTTGCTCACATTGTTTATTGAAGGGAATAGAAGCTTAAAAATTTAACTGATGAGAGCCCAAAAAATTCTAAACTCCTTGGAAATGGATAATCTAAAATATTGGATATCGTAACTTTAGCAAGGAATTACGAAAGTACATATTACATTTCTGTCTCCTGTTTGTCATCTTATTCTCAAAAAGAACTTTCAAATATATACTCATCAACAAAAACCTTTAAAAGTTACTTAATATACGATTATGTACCATTAAGTTTATTCAAGTTTTTAACAATGAACACCGTAAATTTGTTTTTAACGATGTTGCTATTCAAGATGGAATCAATTCAACAAAGTAAAATTACTTACATTGACGAATACATCAATTTACCATCTGGACCAGCCCGTTGGTTTTGTAGCCTGGTTTTGACCAAATCCAGTGGAAATACACACGTAACACCTATAACACCCGCAATGCCTCCATTGACTATTTTAGGAAGAAATCTGAAACAATTAAAATTATTATAAGTACGTGATTTGTCTATTTTACTTTTAAAAATTTAGGTAACCTGTTCAGTTTCTAAGTTTCATCAGTTATATATTTTTTATTTCATATTTTAGTCTCTAGTGTATTTCAAAGTGTATTTTTTATTGTATTACTTGAAGTCATATTAATGACGAAGTATTTTGTCGATAGATGCGACAATTCCTAGACTTATGACACTTACTTGCGTAAGTAACGTTGTGCCAGAAAGTGTACTTAACTGTGTAGGAAATGGCACATTTCCAAAATATTTGCTATTGAATTTTGGCACTGCCAAAAATTTAAAGATACGTTATTTATTTCATTATTGGATTTGTAAATGAATAACTTCTCCCTTGGAGGTACTCATGTATGTAAGTGCATATACTTTTCATTTGTGAGGTTCTATAGTAAAAGAAATTAAAAAAAAGATGCTTCACACAGGCTACTGTAGAAGAATATTTGGTGTAAACCAAATTTCTTAGTGATACAAATACATTTTACGATTTGGTGTTAATTGTATTAGATTTGCACTTGTAACTTCTTTTATACTTAGATGCTTTAATAATTACGAGGGATGTTTCTAAAGTTATGGGAATTCTGCTTTAATTAAACTACTCAGTACTTATAGGTAATGTGATTGATGCCAGACAAGTCTTGACATGCGTATGCAACTATCTAGTGCAACATTGTTCAGTCTGATTTAGATATTCGACTGATATAAACGCGTTTTCATAACATTGTTTTTGTAATCATGGAAGACGCAGCGAAATCTCAAAGAGCAATAATTTTCTTTTTGTGAAAAGAAGGTGTTAAAACATCAGAAATTATTCAGCGTTTGAAAGGAGTATTTGGTGAGTCTACAGAATCCAAAAGTACACTGGAAGACGATCTACACAATGGGCGTCCAAACACGTCAACAAATGAAAGAAGTATTACTGTCATCGAAGACCTACTGAAAGAGAACAGGCGAATGACTATTCGTCAAATTAGTGTGCACCTAGGGATAGGTACACTACAAGTTCATGACATCTTGCATGATTATTTGGGCGATAACAAGGTTTCGGCTGGGTGCCAAGGTTGTTGGGACCAGAAGAAACACTCAGTAGGTCTGATAATTGTCGTCAACTTCAAGAGCTGTTAGTCCGTTACGGTAATGAATTTTTAAATTTTGGCAACGAACAAAGCGTGGATTCCTTATTTTTAATCCTGAGACCAAAAGTCAATTAGAAGAATGCTTGGTGCTAAGGGATTACTTTTATGGATTACCTGACGAAAGGTACTACAATTATCGCAGAATATTATTCGAGTTTAATATCCGGACCACTGCGACAGGCACTTGCCAAAAAACGGCCTGGAAAGTTACATAAACGTCCGTCATAAACAACAGGATAATGCAAGACCATTCACCTCAAGAAAAATGAAGGATGTTTTGAATGATTTACGACGGAAATTGCTTCCGCACCCACCTTATTCCCCGGATCTTGCACCCAGTGATTATCATCTGTTCCCAGATGTAGAAAAACCCTTACGGGGTGTTCGATTTCACTGTTTAACTGACGTAAAAAGTGCCATAAGTAAGTAGATTGAGGAGACATCGAAAAAGTTTTTTGAGGGCGGCTTAAAAAAATAGTTTACCGTTGGGATAAATGTATTGAGTTAAATGGAGATTATGTTAAAAAACTACATTGTAATATTGACGAAAATTAACAAAATAATAAAAATTATAGCTGAATTCCTAGAACTTTGGAAACATCCCTCGTATATTAGGCTTGGGTTGGGCTAATCATAAGTTAGAGTATAACAAAACCGGATAAATTTTGAAACTACGCCCAAGTGTCCACCATTTTTCTATTCTCATTTACTAATACGATATAAGATGAAATCAAATATTGAAATAGCTTTTGTACTAATGTATGTACATGTACATATGCAGATGACTTACATTTATCATTTTGAATTGTGGTAGCTTGTGCTCTTAAAGGTAACCGGCGAATCCGGCACTTTTTTTGGATGCGGGTGGGTACCGTTTAAAGACAATTTTTTACAGTAATTCCATCAAGAGTGTTACTAATAAGTAACCACTTAGTTTGGAGCCATCTCATAAGGTTTCCATTTTAAATGAACATTCTAAAAAATTTTAGGTAAAATGATTGAATATGTACCAGCTGTGTAGGTACGTCCCATTTGTGTACAAGAGATGTGTTCGTCCCATTTNAGATACAGCGCAAAAACGTTTTTAAAAGTATTTCATATAAGGTTAACGTATACCATCAAGTAAGTTAATTTCATTCATATTTGTGCTAGAATTAAAAAAAAAAAAGAGAACTGTTTGAAACAAAATTTAAATAAATAATAAATGAAGAACCACTCGAAGTACGGAATCAATTAGTTGGAATTCGAAGCTTATGAATAATAATTAATAATGTCGGCAACTCTACCGATTATTACAATTTTTACATTTATTAATAAAAGATAAGTGAATATTATGTGTAGCATGTCTTCCAATATTCCTCAGAATATACGTTTCGTATTATCAACATCATCATCATCATCATAAGAACATCAACCAGAAAACTAGTTGGACACGTACATCACCTGCTTCCTATTTTGAGCCTGTCGTCGCATTTTTCTTAAACTAGAGCAACCTGAATATCTAACTATTTACGAACCTCTAATACCTCTACCCCTTTTAGCTCCAGTTTAAGGATATTTGGGAGGTATGTCAAAATGCTATGGGACAAATAAAAATTTGGAAGAATGTTCCTCATTCAATTCTAAAACTCCTGTAAAAATTAATATATATATAAACATTTTAAAAAGTTTTACGCTCATTATTAATATTTCTTCTAAACCCAAATTGATCTTCCCTTAATAGTTCTAGTTAAAATTTTTGACGCATGGGAAGTTTACATAAATAAACTGCCAAAAGAACATTTGTTAGAGTAGAGAATAAGTACGCTAACAATTTACGTACATATACATATATATCTACTGTTGTGGTAAAAGGTAGAGTTATTAGGGCAGTTTATTTTATTCTCACCTTACCCTTTCGAATTCGTAGGCGTATATGACTTCGTCGGATTTAGGTTGATTTGGATAGTTCCTTGCCGGAATGAACCGTCTAACGAATGGTGCCAGTAGTTTTGGGTCGATATCCCTAGGGTCTAATGGTCTAGTGATAAAGCTTGTGATTAAAGCTACAGACATAGAAACTAATGCGCCCACTAATGTGTACCACAGGTACGAAACTCGATAGAGCATGAAGGTTTCACTGAAAATAAGTCCAGACTTAAATTATATACCTTATCCAGAGATGCGATTTATTTAAAATATTACATTTAAATGAAAATACAAAATTTGGAAATGTATAATCTAAAATACTGGATCGATATAATTTTCCGGGTTCAATGTCATGGTCTATGGAATTTTGAAGTTCCAAATTGATATCAGCACCTGCCAAATCGGGAACGAAGTGCGAAATTTTATGAATTACGGCAAAACAGCCCCGAAAACATTATCGAGTTGTTATATGCCACATGTGTAAAACTGAAAACTATAAGATATTGGGGTGTGCTAATAAATACGTATAATCCAAAATTCTTAGAAAACGATTCGAGAAACTTCACTTATTAGATGAACCCAAAGCTAGAGAAACTATGGATTCCATTTCTTTCTCTTATTACAATGTGTAACAGATCAGAAACAAAATACGGTTGTAAGTATTTTGATATAAAATGATTGATGTTGATTTTACATCAATAAAATTATTTGCAACCTCATTTTGGTCTGATGTTTCACGCGAAGTAAACTATTTTGTTATCGGTGTCTTTTTTCCAATTAAAACGGATGACAAAGGCAAATAAGAATACATATAGAAGAATTATTTGTTACTGAACTTAAGAATAAAGTATAACATAAAGATGGAAAAACTATACCTCAATCACTTCATACAGGAAAACATGAATCATAATTAATCTTCGCAGCTGGTGGTATAGTGCAAACGCCACTATTAGTCAAGAAAAACTCCAATACATATTTAAAAATTGAGCAAATACGTGCAAGATTTTCTCAAAAAATATTTTATACCTAAATTAATGTAGAAAATTAAATAGGCACTACTAGAATTTTGAAATGGTTTTTACTTTCCAGAGAAAGCATAGTATTAATTTAAAATAACAATTATCTTACTCTGTATGAGTGACATTAGTAGCATTCAGTTGAAAACCAGATAGTTGGTTCGGGGTAAAATGGTAAAGGCAACCGCCTGTGTCAACTGGCTTTTCCGGGAAACTTAAATTGCCAGAAGCAAGAGCCGCCTGTGCATTCAAACACAGCCAGGACATAAAGATCAGACCAAAGGCACTACCCACAAGTGCTCCCTAGAAAATAGAGAACATATTCTGTGATTCACAAACGTGTAGCTTAGAATTACAAGTGCAGCTACTAACGGTTGTTAATTATAATTAATTAGGGACACATCACAAAGCTTATTGGTAGATGTTATAATGCAACGTCATAAAAGTTGAAAGAAAATTGTATTTCATTGGGAAACATTGGATTGGATGATAATTACAATATGTAAAAATACTGGTAGTAAGGATTATAAATATGCATAAATGTACAAATTTACCTTAGCTGTTACCCAAGGAAGAAGAACACCCATACTAAATAGAGCTAATGAAGGTCCATGGGCAATAGCCCCAATACTCATTGTAGCCTAAAATGAAAACAACAGTGGTTTAATAGTTGCTAGTGTTATTCACTTTTTAATAAAAAGAAAGGATACTTTTAAATCAAAAACAACACATTTTTCGATTTCCTAACTCGTCATACATATTAATATTCTGTATTTCAAAAATCTTTATGAAAACTGTTGCAATAGTCCAATAGAAAGGATTAATTATCATAATTGAAAATATCCTAGGATTTGAGGAATGGCTGAATATTTTAAGGACATGTACAATAATTTAGATAAATGTCTTGACTTCTATCAATGTGGTTTGGAGACGTTGGTGAGGGTGGTTACAACAGAAACCTTCTAAAGTGACGTGGAAATTAACAAATGAAACAAAAATCCGTTTTACCTGTAATACGGCTCCTAATTTTTCTACAATACCAACCATGCCAACACAAATCATTCCAAAAATTATCACAGTTATCCTCATTATTATGCAACTTTGTTTCTCCGTGACTTCTTTCCTTAGGAATGATTTATAAACATCTTCGAGTACTACTGCAGACATGGAATTCAATCCCGTGGAAAGGGAACTGGAAGACAACGTTTTTAAAACGTTTATCATGTACTACCTACCCATTGTAGTATTTGCTAAACTTTTGTAAGAAGCAAACATTTTTTAAAAAAAAATTTGCTCATTCTTTATTATAATTATTTATTAATTTTCAACTACAGTCGACAATAAAACAGTAAAATTTGTGAAAATTCTGAATACGATCTTCTACACATACGAATCATGGGTTTATGGTTATGACGTGGAAACCAAAGCTCAATGATCCCAGTGGAAGCTGCCGCACGATCCAAAACCGAAAAAAGCGAGCCAAGTTAGGTCGAATGTGAAGGTTTTGCTTACAGTTTTCTTCGATTGCAGGGGCGTAGTGCATCATGAGTTCTTGCCACAGGGTAGAATGCTCAATAAGGAATATTACTTGTAAGTTATACTCAATATGCGCTAAGCAATCCGTCAGAAACACTCGGATTTGTGGAAGAACAAAGATTGACTTTTGCACCATGATAACGCCCCTGCTCACACATCGTTGCTTGTGCGCGAATTTTTGGCCAAAAACAACATACTAATAATGCCTGGCCTCCTGCAACCTTTTCTGTTCTCGAAACTGAAGAGACCCATGAAAGGACGACGCTATGCTACGATTGAGGAGATAAAGACGGTACTGAAGGAGGAGATGAACAAGATCACGAAGATGATTTTTTAAAATGTTTCAAGAATTGAAAAAAACGTTGGCGCAAGTGTATAATGTGTGGTGGGGATTACTTTGAAGGGGACAAAATAGAAATTCATGAATAAATAAATAATTTTTGAGAAAACACAAAATTAACGATACTTTTTGAACATATAGTGGGGTATCTATAGTAGACTGTGGGCTGAGGGTTAAGATCATGTATCATAAAAAACTGTCATATAACATGTAGTAAACGAATAATCGATGAAATTGATTAGGTCGTTAAAAATCGAGCTCACGACCCATATGTGAGGGTTGATTTTTTTGTTACATCCTTGACCCAATTATAAATATAAGTAATTTTATATTTTTACGTCACATTGTAGCGTGCTATATATCGACTAATAAAATTAAAATTCTCAACCTGTTAAACCCTGTCTATAGTGGACGATTAGGTTTGGAAGTTACATAAAACTATGGAAATAGAGCATGTAGAGCAGCGAGCTGTGATGAAAAGTTTCTTGCAAGGCTCATGATAATCAATGAGTCCTTGGTCCATCATTACTATGTACAGAGTAAGGAATGGACACTTCGGGGCTCACCGCCGCCGAAAATACCATCATCAGCAGGGAAGGAAATGATATCCGTGTTTTAGGATTCTGAAGGAGTAATTTTGGTGGATTTTCTGCAGAAAGGGGCCACAATTACAAGTGTTTATTATGCCAATTTAATTACGCCAGTTGATAAAAAAATAAATGGCAGGAAAGTTATGTAAAGGTGTTCTCTTGCACCCGGATAATGCACCCAATCGAACGTTCGCCATTGGAAAAGCCACAATAGCTCACGTGGGTTTCGAATCAATGTAGCATCTGCCTTGTGCGCCAGATTTGGCTCCAGCTGATTACCGACTCTTTCCAAAATATAAAGAAAATTTCAACATAAAGGTTTTCGCGGTCAGTAGGTGAATTGGTGCTGTTTTGGTTCGGGTCTAAAGGCCATCGGATGTTGGAGTTACTTTCTAACGTTTCGTCGCATCTACCATCGTAGATAGAAGGACCTCGTCAGATAAAGTGGTGAAATATGCGGTAAATTAGTGGTTTACAAAGATCGAATAATATTTTTGTCGAGAGGCGTTAGAAATGCTAGACATCGCTGACAAAAAAGTGTTGACCTTAATGAACATTATATCGAAAAATTTGTTATTGTAAATAGGTCAGAGGCGGAGCAAAAGCGTTACAAGCATACTCAATGTAGGTACCTTAATGCTGCACTGAAGACACCAGCCACAAACAGTCCCGGTAATCCAGGAAATTTCCCTAAAACTTCCATAACAAGGACGGGAAGTAGTTGATCTTTTTCCTTAGCTAACTGGAAAAATTAAAGCCAATTTCCTTTTATTAAATTACTTTCATATTTCAATTCAATTGATAATAATATTTGTTTAACTACAACAAAATCACTGGTCTCTTTTGAATAATTTTTCAGTCAATTTTCATTAAAAAGCCAATAAGATATCAAGTTAATTTTTCTAAATGTGGACTATCACCAAGTATAGAATGCTAATTCTGTTTTACATTTGAGATTATGTAATTAAAAAGCTATAATTACTTATTCATAAGTTGGATACTTATATTTATTAATTGTATGACAAATAATTATATGATACTTACTGTGGTTGTTAGAGGGTCGCAATCGTGGTATGTGGCATACAGCAGTAAACCAGTGTATGAACAAAGAAATATAATCAGACAAAATCCAGCAACGAATATCCACAATGCCCTTAAATAATATCTAGTTGTTACTGAAGTAGAAGCTTTCGCTGCTTTTATACCTATGTTTACCATAAACTGTTTATAATGTTCGGTCTGAGGTTAAAAAAATAATTTTGATTTTGAACTGTAGTTGCAGTTTGTACAATTCTATGACGAAGACTTATGTGAATATAGAGAGCTGTGCAGAACAACTATATACGACAATATTTGTAAATTATTTATTGGAAAATAAATTGTTCATTTGAATGTAATTTTTATACTATAGATGCGAATTGAGAGTAGAGCAGAACTAAGAATAATAAAGCAATAATAATTCTTTGCTTTTTGAAGCGTCATTCTACATAATAGAATTAGATATTAGAAGATGGGGGAGACAGTTTTTTATGAATTCATAAATAAAAAAAAAATTTTTGAATCATAATTTTTAAAAATTGCATCAATTGTGGATAATTATCTGCATTGGAGACGTCATTGTTTGGTTAGGGAGGTTTATGACAGATTGGAGTTTAACAAATGCTTTTGCCCGCCGGAGACGGGCTGTTATGTTAGAGTATTAGTTTCACTGAACATTGAATCCTCAGAAATGATCAAAAATCGATGAAAAAATTTTTGGAGCGATTTTGGTTTGGAGCCCCAATTCTGGACAATTACCTTATTTTCATCAAGAGCTCTCAGATAGTACCTTTTCAACATCGGTCAGGAAGCCAGTATGTAGCACATCTTAACACGAAGAAAAGAGAATTTCGCATTTTTTTTTGTTTATACAATAAACTACGTTTACTCGTTTACCAAAATTTTTTATTATTTGCAAATTGAAAAGCTTTATTATATTTTTATGCCAAATTCGATATGAAATTAATAAACGCTGGTGCAATTGTCATATCAGGTCAAAACCACCAAAAGAACGCTTCATTGCCTCTTGCATCTCCAACATAAACGTACGTATAAAAGGAGCTCAAAACCTTTCAGGGTAATTTCCATTTGAAAATGTCAAGTTTATTTTAAGATTTTTACTTATAACGTAAGGTTAAATTCAAAGTTGCTTACGATTTTTGTATTTGAATAAGTTTTGAAAAATAATCATTGTTTAGGAGTCCCTGTACTTTCCACTCCCCTTGCATGCATACATGCATTTTACTTATGTACATACAGGGTGTTTCAGAAAAGAAACCGGTCAATTTTAGGTCGAACTCGCGTAACGAGGGTTCCGTACAAATTTCTAGGTATGTAAATAGTTCATCTGTCAGCGGAATCGAGTCTCGAAAACGAGTAGTTTTTAAACTTTCCCCCAAAATCAGTCCCCAAAATGTATAATTACAATACTACAAGTAAAGCATTATTGTTTTTGTGATGTAACTTTTCCCATTACTTCTCCTACAATAAACTGCTTTTTGTCAAATTTCATGACTTTAGATCAACGGGGAGTACCTTACGGGTTTTTATTCCATTGCGAGTGTTAATATATGCGGCACAGACGGCCGTATCTTTCTAGTGTGTTGACTTAGAAGTTTGATTTTTTCACAGTTCCAGAAGGAATTGCAGACCTAGTATTTGATACTAATTTCAACTTAACATTGAGAAAAGGGTTCTAACAGAAGGTTCCTTTCTACGTTTTAAGGTACGAAACCCTAATAATGCTTTAATATTTTTACCCTTCCGAAAAACGATTTTACAAAATTTTGCATACTTGCAATTGGCACGGCGCTACGGGGGTGCCTGAGGGCAATTTTTTTTAAACAAAAAGAAATGTCAATACTTCGAAGGGATCAAAAACAAATATGAAATTTCGTTAAATCCTGCATCTCTGAAAAGAAGCATTTTTTCGGGACACAAGTTTATCCAAACTTTTTACTCAAAATGATCAATACTGACATGTCTCATAAGATTTCCTGAACTACCCTATATATAAGTATAAATATTGTTTCAAAAGAAAAGCTCGAATAGCTCCAGGCTAAAACTATGCATATTTTTTAGAACAACCCACCTTCTTGTTGCTGAAAGTGATGGCAAAGAAAGATATCTCTGCATCATGTTTTGATTTACTCCACTTGATTGAAGCCAGTAGATACATCCACCAAATATTAAAGACCATAATGTAGTTCTAGAGAGTGGGTTTGGATCTAAGCTGCATTTAAAAAAAAAAACGGAATTTTGTCTCTTGCAAATCAATTAAAACACACTTTCATTTAAGTTAAAACTGTTTATCTCAATAACAATAAATCACTAAAATAGAAATTTACAAACATTCGATTTATTTAGGACATAGTGAAACCGAATCAATGTACCTAGGTACTCTGGCCATCAGTGTGAAGAATAAAGAACAATAACGTAGAATAATTTTCTTTTATCTAGTCGACCAGAGATAGGCATGACAGGTTGGTAGGAAACCTACCCAGAATTGAAGTGCCAGCTAAAGACATTTTAGAAGAAATATTAAATTACTGTTTACAAATAGTTAGGTAAGGATGTTAATTTTAAGGAAATACGAAGATTAGTTCAAATTTGCTCCTGAGGGACATAGCTGGTAATGAATCATGGGTTTATGCATATAATGTAGAAACCAAAGCTCAATCATCCCAATGGAAGCTGCCGCATGAGCCAAGACCCGAGATAAAAATGTTCAGTCTCTTAGAGTCTCTGAAAGCTAGACTCGAGTCTCCGTCTCTCATCGAGTCTCTCTGGTGTAGCTGAGAGAGACTGTCAAAAAAACTGTTTAGCGTCTCTGAACGAGAGACTCGAGTCGCTCATACAGAGATCGTCATTTCGTATCCAGTCTCTGAACGAGAGATTCGAATCTCTGAACGAGAGAGTCGAATCTCTCAATAAGTGGTGTCTTGATAGACATGGTTAAAATTTTCTAAGTTCAACATATTTCAGAGATACCAGTATTTCTACGAGAGACTCAAGTCTCAATTTTTCAGTTTTATACATTCAGTCTCTCTGTGAGAGACTCGAATATCTGAATTAACAATTTTATCGTTCATACACAGACTGTGAGAGATCCATAGAAACACCTAGGCAATAACTGAGAGACTGTGAAAGACTGAAAGAGACGCTCTCAGAGACGCTGAAAGACTCTGAGAGATTGGCGAGACTGAAAATTTTTGTCTAGGGGACCAAAAAAAGCGCGCCAAGTTAGGTAGAATATGAAGGTTTTGCTTACAGTTTTCTGCGATTGCTTGGGCGTGGTGCATAATAAGTTCTTGCTACAGGGTAGAACAGTCAATAAGGAATATTACCTGCAAATTATGCACAATTTGCGCAAAGTAATCTGCCAGAAAGGCCCGAATTTGTGGAACAAAAATTGAGTTTTGCACCATGATAACGCCTCAGCTCACACATCGTTGTTTGTGCGCGAATTTTTGACCAAAAACAACACACTAATAATGCTACAGCCACCGTTTTCCCGGATCTGGCCCCCTGTGACCTTTTTTTGTTCCCGAAACTGAAGAGACCAATGAAAGGACGACGCTACGCTACGATTGCGGATATAAAAACGGTATCGAAGGAGGAACTAAACAAGATCACAAAAAATCATTTTTTGAAGTGTTTCGAGGACTAGAAAAAACGTTGGTCCGTGTATAATATGTGGTGGGGATTACTTTGAAAGGGATAAAATAGATATCCATGCATAAATAAATAATTTTTGAAAAAACACAACATTCGCGATACTTTTTGAACAGACCTCGCATTTTGTGTGGTCGTCTGAAATGCCTTTAAAGTATCAAATAATCAAATATGTAGGAGGTACCTGTTAATATTACACAAAATTTAGACCAAATTAGGTGAATAACGTAGAGAAGCGAAAGAGAGATAATTAGAATCTACATTTGTTGATTTAATAGAATTCTAGATATTATCACCATTGAAGGCTTACGTGCTGGCGCCTTTAAAGCACTTAGGCTGGCTCGATCGGTGCAGAACCAATTAATTACGGGGAACGTTCCATATTGTTGCGCTACGACCACCTCAATATTGTTACGACGGATAGAACATCCCTTAAACCACATCTTGACTTCATTGAAAATGTTTAAAGCATTTTTGGTACAGATCCGCACAAAAAAAGTAGTCAATTCGAAAAGACTATAATGAAAATTGTTAACAAATGTAACTGTAAGCTTTGGATATCCAAATATGTTTTTTAGACAATTCGCTTGAGAGTCAAATGTGAATGTCGAGTCCTTTTAGTACAAAAAGAAAACGGATAACAGTGAAAGTTTTTGGCTAATGAGGGGGGTGAATCCAATCGAAATTTTTCGGTCCATTACAATTCGGAAACAAAAAACTTTTAAGTGTTTCATTTATCTGTGAAATATTACTGTCCGAACATTTGTCTGAATGCTCCAAGTAAACCACTAAGGCTAACAGGCCCTAACGCGCAGCTCGAGGACAAACTCAAAATTTTAAAAACTAAAAATATTTTTTTTCCAAAAAATCAAATGAATAATCTAACTCATAAACCCATCGCAATTAATAATTTTTCATTTGGTCTTGGTTTTGCGTATTAGGTTTTGGTTTTAGTCTTGGTCTTGTTCGCTTGGTCTTGATTTCAGTCTTGGTCTTGTTCGTCCGGTTTTGATCTTGATCTCGCTAAAATAAAGACAGCCTTGACATTTTTCGCAGAGTCAAGACCAACACTGCAAGACGAGGAGCAATTTTGACTTCATTGAATTTGCTTAACGCGTCTCTGATACGAAGTTGCACAAAAAAGCAGTCAGTGTAAAGCTTTTTACGAAAATGGTTGATACTTTTAATTGTTCATTTGTTCGATTGTTTAAGCCGATCTGTACATTTTTTAAATACTTTTCTTGTTGGAAAATTATGCTTACAGGGTAGTAGATGTTCTCAAACGAGATTAGAAAATGATTAGTACATTATCCGGAAAACTGTGCATCGCTAATTCTATTAATGTTCGCAATTTGCCGAACGCGATATGAAACTAGATAGTGTGTGTGTATATAGCGTAATGTAGTTATTAAATTAGTGTTCACCAATATTTACTTGGGTGATTCAATGCGGCCGCTAATCCAGTTTCGTTCCCAAACTACGCCAAATCCACCTACATCCAACGACCCCTTGACGATAACAAGAATTATTGCCAGCAACATTAACACGGTTTGGATTACGTCAGTCCATACAACCGCTTTTATACCTCCCTAAAAGTTACAAATTAACCACAATGTATCATATTTTTCATTGTTTTTGATTTCAATATGTTTCATTTTAAGGTACAACAAAAGTTGCACAATTCACGGTCAACTTTTTGCATCGAATTCTCCGGGTGGTCATTTTTACGGCAGTAAATAATTCCAAACGAAAATTGTCCACCCTCTAATCATTCTATTAAGTACACATGCACTGTCATCGCTACATTTTAATCTATACATCGAAGACGCGATCAACATCATTAAAGACAGTACAACTGTAGGAATAGATATACCGGGGCAAAATATTAGTATACTTAGATTTGCAGATGATGTAGCAGTACTAGCCTCTAGCAAGGAGGAGTTAGAGATAGATTTAAATAAAATGGAAGCGGTATTGTCAAAACAGTACTGTATAAAAATAAATAAAAGTTAAACAAAAATACTGGCATGCAAGGGAAGAAAAATTAGAAGAAGTGGCTGATTTTAGATATCTAGGAAGTCAGATAAGTCAGGACGAAAGGAGTAGTAGGTATATAAACCAGACGATAGCGCAGGGTCGAGTCGCCTTCAATAAAAAGAAGTGACTTCTATTGGGATCCGTCAAATGGACATACACCATCTGGTGGCAAAATTTATAACTTGAATGAGGGAATAATTTACATAGGAACTGTGCACGCAAATTGTAAAATTGTTTATTAAAATAATAAAACACGTTAAAAAAGTAAAAATTTTTTTGATGATGGAGTCGACGAAGTTTTCTTCTAAAGTTAAATCAAATAAAAAGTTAATATGTTCAGTGAAAAGCTGCAATAGCACTTCAGACATAGATCTTCACTCTTCACCTACATTAACTACTTTCCAATAAAAACTAACCGTTTTATATATGTAAAAAATATATTCGGAAAATTAGAGAAAAAAGTAAACTAATAGAAGTTTGGATGAAAGCAGTAGGTATCAAAGAAGTGAATTCCGGAATAAAAATTTGTTCACGTCATTTTAATGCACATGGTTATATTTCAGCAAGTATTTACCATCAGCCATAACGTTAATATTTAAAACTAGAATCATACTAAAATTATAAACTGAGAAATTATTTATTCCTGTGTAATTGATTTAACACAATTATAATGATACGATATAAGTATTTTGAGGTTAAGAACCTACCCGCTGCAATACAACAGAGTTGCAATAATATATTTGCAACGTTCTCTTAAATCGGCTTTGCACGTGCATTAAAAACACGCTCACCTTCAACGAAATTTCCTTCCCGAGGCTTTGTGTCAGCCCAATCACATACTGTGCCAATACTTATCATTTTATCGTAATTTAAAAACTTGGAAATTGCACGGTACACTATAGGAACTACGATAAATTTTCCCTAATCGGCGCCATGTTTTTAGGCTCCTCCCATATGACGGATCCCAATACTCGCGAACGGTTAATTTAGAAATTTGAGAAAGATTGTTAAAGGTGTCTGTTTGGTACGTGGCGCTGTACGGGAGCGAAACATGGACGGTGGGCGCTGCGAAAAAGAAAAGGTTAGAAGCGTTCGAAATGTGATGTTACATGTGAATGATAAGGATACCGTGGATAGAGAAGGTTAGAAATGAAGAGGTATTAGAAAGAATAGAAGAACAGAGGACTATATGGAAGTCAATTAAAAATAGGCGAGATAGGTTAAAAGGACATTTTCTCAAGCATGAAGGTCTAGTCAGAGACATATTAGAGGCAGAAACAGGAGATTACTGTTCGCAAATAGTTAAAGATGTGGGTTGTTCTAGTTTTAGGGAAGTATAGCTCAAGACAGGAAAGAGTGGAAGTGCGTTTCCAACCAGTCTTAGGACTGACGACTTTATGATGATGTCATAGAAAATAGGAGAAGGGGTAGGGGAACCTATCTTAACATAACCGATGACGTACGTCGAGTTAAAGTATTCTAGCCCTGGTAGTAGTTGATTCGTCGGCAGGATTGCAGTATGACTGTTATATTATAATAAACTTGGTGAAAAGCCGGAGATAAGTTCACCGGAAAACCAGATCACGGAAAAATTTAACGAAAAAGAAGTCCATAATTATTGTATGCCGGGAAAACGACCAACCGGAAAAATAAACGGATATGAAGTTGCACCGTTAAAAATTTATAATATATATTAAATGAAAACAATTAATGACTCGTTTCTGCATAATTGCAGAGTGTTTTGTCAATGATCGCAAACCTGACATATATAAAATGCTATTTACAAAAGTTTTCCATTTGAAAAACATACATTTTCATAATTTTTATCTTAGAATATTTAAATACATATTAACAATAAATAATAATGCTTACCACTGACGTATAAAATATGCAAATTAGGCATACTATTGGTGTGACAAGGTGAATATTTACACCGGTAACTAAAATGCAAACAATAAGTGTACGTAAATATAGGAGTTATTGACACGGTTGATTGAATTAATTAATACCTTGATTAAAAGCCAGGGCAGGTACATAAACTACCAAAGGGAGCCATGTTATCTAAAATTAAACAAAACTATGTAACTATAATTCTAAGAAAATTGATAGTTGTTTAGCGAAATTTGCTTTTGGAAACAGTGTTTGGAAAAACGTAATTTGTGTGCCAAAAAAGTGGCGAAAATTGATGCATTTCGCAGACATCGAACGAAGTGGATTGCCAACTTATTTTAGCCACTGGTTTTTGAGTGGAGACTGGAGATTAATAATAAACGACGCCTGCAGTAGTTATATAAAAATGAACCCCAAGTTAACTTGAATTAAGTTATACCTACCAAGTTAATAGAAAAAAGAAGTGCTCCAAAGAATCTTATCCGTTTATCAAATCTTCTTTCCAAATACTGCAAAGACAGAAAAAACTTAAACTGGATACATCTAAAGTGGCAGCTCATGCAATAAAAGTACCAACAATAGATCTCATGCCTAAGTGCAACTTTATGGCAACATCCAAACGAAACACATTTTAGATTCTGGTATGTAGCCGTGTCTTAAAACTCGAAATAGTTTGAAAACTTTCAGGAGGAGGACTCAAATGAATTCCACTACTGTGTTTTATAGAAATATGGGAGATGCGCAGGTAGTACAACATTTTTATTGAATTTTAGCTGCAAACATAAACTCAATAAGGGTTATTGTTGTTTAATATTGCCACTTAATAGAATTAGGGAGGTCCTCTTTATTTCTGCGGATGATGACCATAAATCTTCTGGGAGTTTCATTACTTTAGCCGCCACTTTAGATGGCTCAGAGTTTATTTGAAGTTTTTACTTATATAGTTATATAGTTATTATAATTAAATTTAAAACAACTAGAACATTTTCATAAAAGAGAAACGAGTACCTGTTGACTTGTCTACCATAAATAATTAGATCACCCATTCCTTAAAAATGCATAAACTTAAAATAAATAAGCATTTAAGAAACTTAATACCTACTTGTTATATGGTGTACCATCACTTAATAGCATACCGTGTTCAGTTTAGTGTGGTCCCAGTTGTGTACGTCCTATTTGCGTACAGCTCTACTATCGGGGTGAAAAAGACTTCCCTTAGACCTAGAACGGCCTGAGGTAGAGGGGTTTTAGTCGGTATCTCCAAGGACACCTTCCTAGGGAACTCGACACTAATCACTAGTCGTCCGCACGACTGGGTGTCTTTTGAAGATTTCCCCTCTTCCACGAAAATAAAAAAAATCTGCTACCGGTCGTTATCCACTATTCTATCTGAAAAATAGTTGTGCCACTTCTACAGTATTTCTTGTCCGGCGTTTTTTTGTTGTGACAATAAGGTTTTACTTCAATAGATTTTCTTCATTGGGTGCTTCTTTTTAAATAAGCCATCCATCGTTTACATTTCATCAACTGGGAGATATCTGAATCTGTAGTCTTACTTCCTTGTTATTCTTATACCCACACACAAGACCTGTTTATAGTTCTGAGTGTATCTTTTTCCAGTGGAATTGTAAGTAACGATAGGTAATAGAACTGTACGCAATTGTGATTAAAAACGTCTTTTGGACACAACTGGTACATATTTCTCAGTTTATGCACTATTAATTTTAACAGAATTATAGTATAAGGTGTCCAGAAAGGGTAGGGGGTGTTTGTCAATTCAATAAAGACAAAAAACATCTTTTTTGTTAATTATTAGACAAAGTTTTGTAGAATTAAGTGCCAAAAATGATATTGTCCAAATGTTGATCTTCGCGCTGCTGGCACTCCTCCAACCGAAAACGCAAATTAGCCGCCACGCGTCTACACATCTCTCTGGAAACGGCGGCCATTTCGGTGTGGATATTGTGCTTCAGTTACAGTAGAGATCGTGGTTTGTTTGTATACAACTTCTCTTTAAGGTATCCCCATTCTCGGAGGCCAGTTGATGATGCTTCAACGAGAGATCGTTTTATCCGGGAAAAGATGATTGACAACCACAAGCGATCTGTTTGAGGTATGGCAAGTGGAATCATCTTGTTGAAATCATCTTTTCACATTAAAACTACCAAACTCTTGCAGTTGAACCAAAAAGTATCTTAACTCGTCACAATACCGGTCATTGTTTACCGTACGTGTTCGCTCCCACCGGTCTTCAAAAAAAGAAGGCCCAATAATTCCTTCATCAGACATGGCAGTCTACGCAATAACTTTTGGAGTACGTAGAGATTGTTCATGTTTACGTCTTGGATTTTTTTTGGCCCAGTAGCGACAGTTCTGTTTTTTTATGTGACCATTTAAGTGAAAATTCGCTTCGTCACAAACCAGAATGTTTTCAAAAGTTGGAAAGCGTTGAAGCATTCCATTTGCAAAATTCAGTCGGAGAGGAAAATCGGTAACGTTTAGTTTTTTAACCAACTGAATTTTGTATGCTGTAAGATGTAAATCCTGCTTCAGAATCGTCTGTAACGACGATTTTTTTAATGTCAAGTTCTTGACTGCGTTTACGAATTTATTGAGACGGATTTTCACGGACTGACACTCTTATTTCTTCAATCGTTTCTTGGATTCGAACAGAGCGCGGGCGACTTATTGCGAATTTTTACTGTCGAACAGGTACTCTCGAACATTCCAATCCATTTTCTGATGTTGTCCTTGGGTTCATTCTGTACATCTGAAATTTTCCCGATATAATCGTTGAGCTATGATCACCGGATCACCATTACAATAATAGGCGCGTACGCAAAAAGTACGATGGTCCCCCGGGTACACTTCTATGGTCATTAAATCTCAAAAAGGTAGTGAAACAACCTATCAATACCGCACCCTTCCGAACCGCGGCGTTACAAAAACAGTGCAGATACAAATACCTCCTACTCTTTCTGGACACCTTGTATATCGGGTGTTTCCTGATTAATGCACGGTAGATATGTATATTTTTCTAAACAACTGGGCTCTGGCGCTCTGGCATCTGATTAGATTCCCGCTGCGAGGTTTTTTGTTTTATTTTTTTTTTTTTTACCAGGGATACCCCTCAATTTGGATAGTTTAATTTGAAAATGTCCTTGTAACGTTTAGCTCAATATTAGCACCTACCAATATCACTGCACTTTGTCGCATTTCTGGATTGATCGACGCACTCCGGGAACAGAGATTTGATTGCTACCTGGACATTACTTACAGGAATGAGCTATACCGAGGGCGCAATTAATTCCATATATGGAGGATAACTGTTAAAGTTTAACAGAGGTACTAAAACTGTTTATCTACTGGCGACGATGAATAATGTGGATAGGAAAAGATAGAAATGAAGAGGAATTGGAGAAAACAGGAAAACAGGAGGCGCTATGGAATTCAATGCGAAAAATGACAAGTAATATATTACATTTAGAATTTGACTTTACTAATTTTTGTACAATTGTACAAAGCAAAATCAAATCATCACAATTACTTTCTTTTTCATACCTACATATGTGTAGATACTAATTTCATTAAAAGCGAAACAGTTGTGCGAAATGTTGTAACATAAAAATGCATTATATGAGAGAAGGAGATTCATTGAACTTTTGCTAATGGGATGAGAGTCTATTTTTAGAATACGTATGCTTTTTCCGGAACATTTACCCTAGTGCTCGTTACACATTAATGTGATAATGACCATTTAGAGCACCACCAGAGGATGATAACCGAACGCTCAAAAAGAAGAAAGAAGTAGATAAAGTAGAAAGAAAATCAAAGCATGTTTATATTAAAACTTTTAACGTGCAGTAGCATGACCGTACCAATTTTAGTTACCGGAAATAGAACAGAAAATGTATAATTATAAAAGTATAAATTAGGACCAAAATCTTTATCTAATTTTAAATGAAATAGTAAAGGTGCTGTTAGATTGCGTATGAATGTCAAAACTCGAATTTAGTTAACGACACTCAACTTTTCTTGGTGGAGGATAAAAACACGTTGGATATTAAATCTTAATAAATATATTTACAATACGAAGAATTTGACTCAAAGGTACAAAACTATGATGATGGTAAGGATAACTACAAAGTGTGTTTACTGTTGAACAACTTAAATCGAAGTCATACAAATACTGGATGTTACTTACTAACTACAAAAATTTAGAGGGGGTTGATAAATCAGAGCGTCAAGCGACCCTGGTTGTAAGAACTGTCCCCTTGCAGGTAGCGGGCAGTATCATAAAAATTAATATTCAGGAATTTAGAAAGTCAGTGACAATTTCTAGGTATAAAGATTCGTTTTTGAAGATGAATTACTGAAACGTACAAAATAAAAATTATGAAACGAAATAAATATCTGAATGAACGTTACTTAAATATTATTAACTGTAAATGTTATTAAGACGATGATTTACGAATACTGAAAATAATATGTATAACAATTAACTCCTACTTAACAGGTGCCTATACAGTCGAGGAAATGATGCATCGAACTTTTATATTTTTCTGACTTTAGTTCTGGTATGTGATAACAAATTAATTGACTTTATTTTATTTATTATTTAGTATTATTATGTAGGGATGAGTTACAGAGATAGAAGAGTGATATTTCGTAAGACCAACGGGCAGTTATAAAGCTAGAACAGCAACGTAGAGAAGTAAATATTAGGAAGGGAGTCAAACAAGGATGAACACTGTCACCGCTACTTTTTAATCTATACATCGAAGACGCAATCAACATAATTAAAGACAGTATAACTATAGGGATTGATATACGGGTGCAAAGTATTAGTGTGCTTGGATTTGCAGATAATATAGTAGTATTAGCATCTAGTAAGGAGGAGTTAGAGATAATTTTAAATAAAATGGAGGCGATATTGACAAAATAGTCCTGTATGAAAATAAATAGGAGTAAAACAAAAATACTGGTATGCAAGGGAAGAAGAAGTAGGGAAAGGGCGAATATAAAGATAGGAGACGAAAAATTAGAATAAGTGGCCGATTTTAGGTATCTAAGAAGTCAGAAAGTCAGGACGAAAGGAGTAGTAGGGATATAAAGCAGAGGACAGCGCAGAACGAGTCGCCTTCAATAAAAAGAAGTTACTTTTATGCTCGTGAGCGGTTAATTTAGAAATTCGAGAAAAATTGTTAAAGGTGTATGTTTGGAGCACGGCGCTGTACGGGTGCAAAACATGGACGGTGGGCACTGCGGAAAAGAAACGGTTAGAAGCGTTCAAAATGTGGTTTTACGGACAAATGTTGAGGGTACCGTGGATAGAGAAGGTTAAAAATGAAGAGGTACTAGAAATAATAGAAAATAGAGGACTCTATGGAAGTCGATAAGAAATAGGCGAGATAGGTTGGTAGGACACCTTCTCAGGCGTCATCTTTATGTCGATTTCAAAGTTTTGTAATAAGGTACCTATTCAAAATAAAATGGTGTTACGGAAGTAGGAAATCAGACTCACTGCCCCCCCCCCCTTTGTATCCGTGCCAGGACGCAGAGTGATTCAAAAAAGACCGCATGCACCGTTTACACCACCCGCTATAAATCCTCCTACTTACGTCACTACTTCAATATTGATCACGGTTTATTTGTGTAAATTATCTGATTAGACTTATTGAGAAACATAATGGAAGTTGTACAAAAATGCGGCAAGTCAATTAATATACACCCAGTCCAACCATTTAGTTTGGTTTTTGTTAATACTTTTAATCATGCTGTCATGTTACATGCGTGCCTATTATAACAAATTTACTTGCACAAAATTTATGTATTTAGGTATTAATGTATTCATTCAATGCAAAAATTTAATTTTCGTGCTATTGGGATCTGTCAAATAAAGGGAGGTCTAAACAATATGACTCTAAAATTGTGGATTTTTTACGATTTTAAAAAACAATTTTTACAATCCTGTAAAGTGGTCCTTTATTCTAATTACATGTTTTGCCACTAGGTGCCGCATACCTATTCGACAGATCCCGACCAGGAAGACTAGAGATAGGAGTAAAAACAACACATAATGATTGCAAGAACAATACACTGCGCAATAAGGCAGTGCGCAGTACGCTTTTTACGATTTGTGCATGTACATTTTTCAAAAATCGTTTAGGCCGTTTTTGCTGATATCTCTAGTCCCTGTATGTCACTGATTTTATTACCTCATAAGTTGACGTGACTTTTAGATTATGGAAAACAGGTAAGAATACATTTTCCATTATAATACCCATTAGTATAACACCTCCGAAAATATACACGTATTGTATTCCGTACACGTATATTTCTGTGGGAATGCCTAGTAGTGATATACCACTCACGAAGCTGTAAAAATAGTTTACCAATAATTAAACTTAAAAAATGATAATACTTCATGTAAATGTTAAGAAATTAATTTCTTCATTGAAGCTGGATGCTTCTATGATCACTCAACGCCGTCACTTAATCTACACCATTCAAGAAAATTGAAATTTATTTCTAAAATAAGCTTTTTGCTTTTGCTAAAATGCACATTAAAATTTTCATTTAAACTGAGTATTTGAATTAAGACATTTTGCATTAATGGTACAGAGGTTTAGACTCTGTAAACGACTTCTACAACAAATGCAGGGTTAAAATGAAAAGGTCCTAAAATGTAATATTTGGAGATCAATCTAAATTCCACCTCAATGGAGTAACTATTAACATATTAACTAAAATATGGGATGGTAGATTATAGAACACTTTTTGGGGAATGAAAAACTAGTTAGAGTCATACTGGAAGCACAAACGAAAGTAAAGACAGGCAGAGGAAGGCCTGGATTAGATTATTGACAGTAAACAGTTAAGGTTGTGAAGATGTGGGCTGTTCTAGTTAACTCGGGATTGGTGATGATAATCACGATACGGTGTAATCAAATTTTCATTTGAGTTTTTTGAAGTGAAACTTCTTTACGCACGGTAGGGTAAGTTCGTTTCATGCTAGTTGCTATGTAACGAAATCATGCAACGGATGTCCCCCCTCTACTCGGCCACGTAGTCGTAGTCGTTACAGGCAACTCCGGAATGCATAGTGTAAAATTTAAATTCATAGTGTACCTACAAATAATACCATTAAACCAATTCCTTAACCCCTACACCGGTATGTTTGTGTGTTTGAAGAAGTTTCACTTCAGTAGCGTGTTGTATATTTACTTACACGTTGTATTTTTTTTAATTGTTCCTGTTATCATCAGTAACGCACAGGCGTAATAATGGAATGGAAGTTGTGGTACAGAGTATCAGCAGTATAGCAGTTGTCTTAGGAATTCAATGGGCTATCGCTATTTCATACACAAATTTTATTGAACATAAAACAAAATGAAAGTCAGATAAGTCAGGATGGAAGGAATAATAGAGACATTAAGCAGAGGATAGCGCAGGGTAGAGTCGCCTTCAATAAAAAGAAGTCACTCCTATGTTCGCGAACGATTAATTTAGAAATTAAAAAAAATTGTTAATGATGTATGGTCTCCCGGATACACTTCCATGGACATTAAATCTCAATAAAGTAGTGAAACAGCCTATCCTTGCCGCACCCTTCTGAACCGCGCCGTTATAAGGACAGCGCAGATACAAATACCCCCAAATACCCCTCTTTCTGGACACCTTGTATAAGTATACAAAATCAAATGTAGTTCTAAATGGTAAACGTAATTATTTCTTTTTATTTCTTTGATTTTTTTACTAAACTAAGTATGGGTATGTTTTTTGCTTCAATGTTTAAATCAACGGAAGAAGTACCGCTAACATTTTCAAAAGTAAACTTTTCACTTGCATATTTGAAACTGGCACTCACGACAGCAAAAACATCTAATCTACGGATTTAAACTAAAGTTGAATGACGATAAAAAATTACACAAACTTGCAGGCTGTATGACATGCTTTCAGTTCTAACTGCAGTGGCTTTTGCGGTCATTTCGTTTTGCGTTTTTAGAGAAAAAATCCGCCTTATTTGACGGTCGGGAAAGAAACAAGAGTTTTACTTTAAATGAAAAAATAAAAACTACAAAATTATGAAGTAAAACTAGATATTAGTCGAAGGAACGGGAAGTTTGTCAACAGAATCTTTAAAGTAAAGAAATAAAAGACTTTTAATTCGGAAAAGTTTGTTTGGATAAAGCGGCTTTCGGATAAACGGGAGTTTAATATATATAAATGCTATTTAAATGTACCTATAAATGATATAATAATAAGGGAATAGCGTTCTTGGTCTTGTAAAAACTTGATTCTTCCGAAGTGAGTTACATACTACTATCTATAGATGATGATTTTGGTGGTGATGAGTTTCATTTGACTCACACACCTAATGATTTGAAAATGAATTGTAATAGTAAACGAAACAAAGAAAGTAGAATTTCACTTTAATTTGAGATATATTCAAGAAGGGGCGCAAAACTTGTTGAACAATAGTTAATAAACCAGAAAACGTATACTGAACACAGTTTATTATGTCTTTAATTGATATTGTACAAAAATAGCAGCTTTAGTACTTTTTTTTTACTTATCATGTAAACAATTATTTTTAACTTACGATAAGCATTAGTATAATTCAAATCTGGTCTTAAAGTGCGTGTCCAAAAGTCAAATTATGTAAATTACGGCAAAAACTCATTTATTTTTGGGGATACAGAAAATCATAAAATTTCTTTTCATTGTTCGTATGTTGATGTGACTACAAATTCATAAAAAGAAACACAACTTTTAAAACAGTTGTTCTTAGGGATTTGACTTGAAAGTTTCTCACTGATAAATCGCATGAGGCGCACGATAAGAGCCATTTTAGATATACATTATACATCAAATACTCTTTAAGGTAATTCAAATACTCCAAACGTGTGAATACCTGGCAATTAGTGACATTGCAATCGGAACAGTCTTCATGGCACGTTCTCCAACAAGATATTCCTGAGACGAAGTTGCTGCATTATAGACACCGAAATATATTCCAATTCCAATGCAAACAGTTAGCATGAGTATAAATACCATATAATCGGCCCAACCGAAACGTCGTAGAGCTGTTTCAATTTCAGTCACTCCAATATGTTCTGTTACGTTACGAATAATTTCCTCCGCTATTTCCATCTGAAAACAAATTTCCCAAATGAAACTATTTCTGCTGATTTCGAAGTACCTAAAAGGTATCTACTTATTATATGATATTTCGATTCAATTTTTATTTTTGAAACAACGTAACGTTTCTAATATGTGTCAGTGAATATCTATAAATACCTATCTACAATCATATCATCATAACATTTCCCTAAACCTAGAATATCCCAAATCCTTAACTATTAATTAATCTAATCTAGATCTCCTCTACTCCTCTCAGCTCCTGTTTCTGCTTCCAATATTACTCCAACTAGTCTTTCATGTCTGATTTCTGACCTTTTCTATCTACGGTATCCGCATAATTTGCCTATAACACATTTCGAAAGCTTCTAACCTTCTCTTTTCTGCCGCACCCTTACAGTGCCGTACTCCAAACATACATCTTTAATTTTCTTTTTCGAATTTCTAAATTAACCGATTGTGAGCTTAGAAGTTCTTCTTTTTGTTAAAAGCGATTCCATCCTAAGCTACCTTCTGTTTTATATCTCTACAGCTTCTTCCATCCTGAGTTAACTGACTTCCTAGATACCGAAAATCAGCCACTTCTAATTTTTCGTTTCCTGTTTTTATATTCACTTTCTTTCTCTACTTTTTCTTCCCTTGCATAACAGTACTTTTGTTTTATATACATCAACAGTATTCCATTAAGAGCTATAATTGGATAGGAGACGCCTGTTAAGTAGTAGTAGCATTATACTGAGAGGGACGGGGTTGATGTTTGTCGGATGGAGATGATGAAGTTTATCGATTAAAAAGGGAAAGGAAGAGAAGGCATGAGGTGAGAGTGGTACACCGTGGTAATTAAAATTAGTTTTAAACTAACTACTTGAGAAGAGTCATATTATGCAGGTATTCTACGATGTTCGTAGTACGTAAGTCCTTCAAGTCTTAGAAAGTGTCCTACCATTTCTGAGTGACTTCTATAGCCCCCCCCCCCCCTTCTAATACTTCCTCATTTCTAGCCTTTTCTATCTATGGCCTTTTTATAATCTGCTCATTCACTACATCTGAAAAACTTTTTCCGTCGCGCTCACTATCCAAGTTTTGAATCCGTGTTGAATTCGTAACAATTTTTCTAATTAATTTTTGTTGATTTTAATTATTTCGACAGTAAAACTTCCGCATCACGGTTTTCTCGGAAACTTTTCCATAATCTGGTGAGAACAAAACTTTTCGGAATTTCGAGATAAACAATCCAAATGTACTTGCAATCTGATTGCAAATTGTTTGGTGTCGTTACAAACTGAAATAAAAACTCTTCGTAGACATACGGAATAAAATTAAGCATTTTTTATTTTCACGCATATACCTTTAGTGACAAAACTAACATTAAATAAATAAATAAATAAAAGGTTGCCAAGTAGCGATTAACCGGTAGCAACATTGGACAAAACAATTTTTAACTTCAACAGTAACTATATTTCTATACAATGCATGATTATTTATCGAAATAAAAAAGTAAAATTAACCAATCAGAACGTTTCGTATTTGCTATAAGCTGAAGTCTATGCACTTCGTCTTGTGATGACTCACGAAGATGAAAAGGTACTGTATTTTTTTGCTTTATTAAATTTTGTTTCCAAATTTTTGAAATTCTAAAAATATTAATAGAATTGTAGACGTAATGTGCATCTATTTCAATTATTAAAATTAAAAATTAAAATGTTACCTACAAAACTCCTTTCTCTAGTTTAAAAACGGATGGTAATAATAAAAAAATAAAAATTTATAATCAGATTTATTTGAATTGAGTATTTCATAAAAAATTCTTGATGTTTACTATAAATATGGGTGTGATAAAGTACGAAATGCCTTATTTAATACATATTTTATTTAATTATTATTCAATTCTCATCCCTATTAGTTGTAATATAAGCGTTGTATTGAGTAATTTGTGTAATGCATTTAGGTCTCTTTTTCCATTTTCTTATTTCTAAGGTTATTACTATCAAAATTGTATTATTAGATAAATTCAAGTTAAAAGTTAGGTAATTAAAATTTATTCTCAACTTCATTAGTTTAATTACTTTATCTGCTTGTTTGTGACGTTTACCCATAGATAATTTAAAGTTAACATTAGGCGTCTAGTCTAATTAATTTTTAAGTTATACGAAAGTTGATTAGGTAATTAGGAGAAAAACATTCAAAATTAATTCTACGTTTCAGTTCTGATACCTGAATAAGTATCAATAAATAATTTATGAGAAGATCGTAAGGAATCGGACAGGTTAATTAAAGATATCTGCGTAAAAGATCAAAAGTAATATTATCTAGNTTTGTAGTCATTGCAAATACTTTTTTCATTTGTTATTTCAAATGTAGAATACAAAATAGATTTTTTTTTTTGATAGTGCCAAAACAGTTTGTTTAGCGGGAATGATTAGAGCCAAAATAGGGTTGCAAATAATTTTATTGTAATAAAATCAAGATCAATCATTTTATGTCAAAATATTTACAACCGCACTTTGTTTCCGATCTTTTGCACATTGTAATAAAAAAGAGGATTTTCTTTAGCTTTGGGTTCATCTAATAGGTGATATTTTGCGAACCTTTTTCTAAGAATTTTGGATTATACCTAGTCATTTGTTAGCACGCCACAATATCTTGTAGTTCTCAGTTTTACACAGCTGGCGTATATCAATTCGATATTGTTTTGTCGTAATTCATAGAATTTCGTAGTTTCTCGCAAAGGTACGATAGGTGCTGATATCAATTTGGAACAAAATTCCATGGACCATAACAATGAACCCCAAAAAATCGATCCAATATTTTAAATTATCCATTTCCAAGGAGTTTAGAACTTTTTGGGTTCTCTTCAGTTAAAGAATTAGAAGGCATTCATGGAATGTCTCTTTGTCCCCTTTTTAAGCTTCTCATACCTTCAATGGCCAATGTGAGCAACTTTCATTCATCATTTTATAAAATTTTTGATCGGTGACACTAGCAAAACTATTAAAGGCAAAAATATATTCTGCATTTTACAAATAAAAAATCCGTTTGCAGAAGTATTTTAAATAAAATACAAAATGGTCTTCTCAAAAAAGTATTTAAATGCAAGATAAAAATAGGTATTTTTTATTTTGTATTTACATTTTAAATGCAAGTATTTCAAATAAATCACATCTCTGTATATTAAGCAGACTTTTTAGGCACATACTGCAATAAGTAGATCCTTAATTTCAAAATATTTGTAAACGCGTGTTTTCGTTCCAAAGTCTACTCTTTTGCTACCTGCTGCTTGCGTTTGTAATACTTTTCTTTTCTAATTTTTCGACTACATTTTTTATATATATTCGAGAAGATGATGTCGAACGTTTGAGTAAAACTATTTCCCAAAGCAACAGGTTCCTTTTCAAATGTTCGATGTCTTCAAGGGTTAGGGACCCTCTGACTTGGAGGTCCGTGTTCCACACTAGTGGTTATGTCATTGTTACTTATAAAAGTACTTAATGAAAACTAAAGATAAAATCTCAATCTGTGTCATCTTCTATAATCTACATAAATATTTTTCGATAAACATTGATTGCTCGAAAATAGCTGTACCTACCAGTAATATTTATTTATAAAATTTATCGCCAGGAAAGTACAAAACTACACAATTGGTTTTGATTGAATTGGCAATTGTAAATTCGGCCGGTATGTGCTTAGGTAGTAGCAGATAAAAACATCGTTTATTAAAGATGACTACATGCACGATAATTTTATTACTAAAAGGAACTACTACTTTCTTTTATAAAGTTTTGTTTTATTATGGTTTTTATTTTATTTTATTAACTAATACTTAAATCAATATGTAGAAGGTAAATATACATAGTCTCTAATAATCATATATCGGTAAAGGTCTAGATGATGGTCCCCATCCCCGAAAGGAGTGGGGGGGGGATAAAAAGAAGAGGTCTCACCCACCACTGTACCATAAAAAGTTCGTGGCGGTCTCACCCCCATAAACAGTTGTGGGGATTCAAAGTTAATAAATATGCCAATTTTTATACATTTCTAGGCATGTAAATATTTATAGTCATTCTTAAACAATATTCAAAAATCTTTATCAATAGGGTAGGTTAGGTTAGGTTANCTTTCTAATACTTCCTCATTTCTAGCCTTTTCTATCTATGGCCTTTTTATAATCTGCTCATTCACTACATCTGAAAAACTTTTTCCGTCGCGCTCACTATCCAAGTTTTGAATCCGTGTTGAATTCGTAACAATTTTTCTAATTAATTTTTGTTGATTTTAATTATTTCGACAGTAAAACTTCCGCATCACGGTTTTCTCGGAAACTTTTCCATAATCTGGTGAGAACAAAACTTTTCGGAATTTCGAGATAAACAATCCAAATGTACTTGCAATCTGATTGCAAATTGTTTGGTGTCGTTACAAACTGAAATAAAAACTCTTCGTAGACATACGGAATAAAATTAAGCATTTTTTATTTTCACGCATATACCTTTAGTGACAAAACTAACATTAAATAAATAAATAAATAAAAGGTTGCCAAGTAGCGATTAACCGGTAGCAACATTGGACAAAACAATTTTTAACTTCAACAGTAACTATATTTCTATACAATGCATGATTATTTATCGAAATAAAAAAGTAAAATTAACCAATCAGAACGTTTCGTATTTGCTATAAGCTGAAGTCTATGCACTTCGTCTTGTGATGACTCACGAAGATGAAAAGGTACTGTATTTTTTTGCTTTATTAAATTTTGTTTCCAAATTTTTGAAATTCTAAAAATATTAATAGAATTGTAGACGTAATGTGCATCTATTTCAATTATTAAAATTAAAAATTAAAATGTTACCTACAAAACTCCTTTCAATAACTGAAACGCGCAAAATAATAATAAAAAAATAAAAATTTATAATCAGATTTATTTGAATTGAGTATTTCATAAAAAATTCTTGATGTTTACTATAAATATGGGTGTGATAAAGTACGAAATGCCTTATTTAATACATATTTTATTT